CTGAGAGAGATCTAAACTCGGAGCAAAGAGTAATTGCTTACTTTTATTCATACTCGTACCACCCATTGTTCCGTGTTCTCAATGTGCACAAAATTTTCGTTCTCTGCTCTGTATGTATGTGTAGACCGTGTATTATGCTTGTCCTGTGTTATATGTCTGTGTTGTAGTACATATGTTGTAAGTGCATCCGCTTGATGGTCCTCCACCTCGATGACGGCAGCAGGGATCTTCATAAGGACCCTTTAGCTTACGTCACCGAATGCAGGATAACGTTCGTCTCCACGGGGAGGTCGGTGGTTCGTCTGGTTAATCAAGGAATGTTGTAATGAGTACTTCGACGCTCTGATGGAGACGCCTGTGATAGCAAGTAGTGCGCCGCGCTGTGCATCGCTTATTCTTGTCAGCCAACACTGCTGCTCCGTAACCTATAATTGGCCATTATAAATTATTTTAAGCATTGGTCTCTTTAGTTTTATTATCTGTCGACATATGCCTCTAAGTCTGTAGAACAAATTACAAGCTTTTTTACACATAAATTTGACATGGGACAGAAATGTTAGTTTTGGATCCAGCCAGATTCCCAGGCATCTCTCAAATCTGGATTCTTTAATGGTTCTTCCATCTATTTTCAAGCGAAGAGGAAATCTTATGGGCCCTTTTAGTATATTTTTTTCATTTGAGAGTTTTAATTTTACGCTTTTGCACTACTTAGACATTTTATGGAGCAGTTGAACTGATTGTTCTTCGAAATCATTGCAGCTTTTCCCCGGTAAAATGACTGTTAAATCATCCACATAAACGTTTGCCGTGACGCCTGCCTCTCTTAAAATAGCAAAGAGTTCATCCACCAATTTCTGCCGTTCAATCTTTAAAATAGGTGCGAAACATCGCATAAAGATTTCCTGGACGACCTAATTTTCGCATTCGGGGTGGCGCAATCGCGATGGCTGTTCGATCGAAGTTGCATCAAAAGTGCAGATACGAAATACCAACGCTTGCAAAATTGTTGCAGCTAGTGGATTGTGATCAAGAACGTCCGAATTTTAGGGCAACCAATTTATACAATTGACAACATCCGGTTATTGACAACCACTTTCTGAAGCAGATTGATCGTAAGTAAAGTTGTTGTATGAACATGACATTTGTATGACAGTTCGAATTCAATTTGAATTGGTAGGGTATGATACTCCCGTAATCAAAAATCGGGCCCTAGGATTTCTCCAATCAGAAGCGTAGTGCGGCGCAAAGATTTCTTCAGTTCGTTTATATCCGGTGTTTATCTTAGGGTAAACGGATACTACAATTGAATGCGTACGTAGGCATCCGCGGCCAGAGTCAATACATACTTGGCTATTCGGGATGAGCCGCATCTCGGTCAATTGTGCTGGCGTTTCGGCCATCTTGCTGTGGCCTTCTTCAGAGCTACACTGCTGCCAAGAGGTTGGCGTGTCTCATTTTGTAAGATGAGCGTGTGGGCCGACTGGGCGCATCGGCGGCCAATAGGAGGAGGGCGGGCGCGCCGTGATTGGCGGAGAAGGAAAAGGGCGATGACGGGCGACCAGAGGAGGGGGAGGGGAGGGGGCGGAAAGGGTAGATAATAGAAAACTGAACAGGATAGACACCTGGAAGATGCATCTGTGTGGAGGAGAACGGGTGGAAATACCGAAAAAGAACGGCCCAAAGGGCGGCCACGTTATTGGCCGTCCGCGGGGTGGGGCCAGATTGGCGGGGGGCAACGGCCCGTCTCCAAGTGTCGCTGAGACGGAGCCCGTCATCTCTATTGAGGTTTGCGGACCTCCTAGAGATTTCCAAAGTCTCTTTGATCAAACGAGGCCACCGCCGGTCTTCTGTTGTTATGGTGCGGGTTTCGTGGTAATTGACGAGGTGACCCGTTTCCGCAGCGTGCTGTGCCAAGGCCGATTTGTGGATATGTTGAAGCTGTTCATGTCACATGTGTTCCCGCGTACGCTCTTCCACCGTGCGCCCGGTTTGTCCGATGTACACTAGACCACAGTTGCACGGGATTTAATACACGCGGGCGTCTTGAAGAGGGTCCGGACGATCCTTTATCTGTACGAGGCTCCTTCCGATCTTGTTGCGAGCGTGAAACACGGGGCAAATATCAGCTCTGCGCAGCAATCTACCGATATTGTCCGTTACTCCTTTTAATGTAAGGCAATCGGACTGTCTTGCGCGGCGAGCTGGAAGGTTCGTTGCGTGAAGTCGAGGTGGTAGAGAGGAGCTTCGATAGGGCATGGTTCACGGCGGATCCGCTGGAGCCATTAGCCAGAAAGGTCTTTCTCAGCAGTACCTTCTCAGACGCCATGGTGTTGAGGTCACATATAAGGGAGGCCCGGTGAGTGAGTGTGGAAAGGACAATACGTTTCGTGGCAGGATGGTGGTGTGAGTCAGCATGAAGGTAGCGATTGGTGTGGGTGGGTTTGCGATAGACAGTATGACCGAATATGCCGTCAGGGTGCCTGGTCCTAGCACGTCCAGGAAAGGGAGCTGCCCGTTTTCTTCTGTTTCCATGGTAAAGTTGAATAAAGATGAGGTGTTCGAGGAAGGTGTGAAGAGATTCGGAGCCATGGGGCCAGATGTCCAAAGTATCGTCGACGTAACGCAACCATAGCGATGGTTTAAGGGGCGCGGTTTCTAGAGCCTGCTCTTCAAAAGCTCCCATGAAAAGGCTCGCGACGACCGGGACAGCGGTGAGCCCATAGCGGTGCCTTCTGTCTGAGCATAAAACTCTTGTTCGTTTGGAAAAAGGTGGTCGTAAGACAGATCTCAGTAAGGTTGACCCACTCCCTTGGAAGCTGATGTAGCGTGAGGTTGTCTGCTACCATCTGGATAGCGTCACTTAGTGGCACCCTAATGAAGAGGGAGGTAACATCGAAACTGACCAGGATATCATCAGGGCGGATTATTGAGGAGCGGATGAGTACGACGAAGTGTGTGAAGTTGAGGGCGGAGGACGGCAAAGGGTTGGTGACAGGTTTCAGTTTGTTGGCCAAGAAACGTGCTAAATGTTGGGTAGGTGAGTTGATGGCACTTACTATCGGATGAAGAGGAACTTGGGTTTGTGGATTTTGGGTAGGCCATAGATGCGGGATATGCCGTGGTTGTTGGCATACTGAGGATTTTCCTATCTTGGTCGCTAATGGAAGAGGTCTCATTTAAGTTAGACTTGACTTATTACTTCACTTTACGTAATGGGTTGTGGTCCAGTTTATGGTACGTTTTCTGGTCACTGAGTTGGTCATCTTCGCTTGGTATTCGCCGCTTTCCATGATCACAGAGGCGTTGCCTTTATCTGCGGGCAGAATGACGATATCATTCCGCTGCTTGAGGTGTTTCTGTGTCAGTCTCTCATCACGGGAGATATTACAAGTTGGGGGAGTGGCGCGGGTCAGAATTGCCTTCGTATCCCGTCGTATGTCTTCAGCAATATCTTCCTGTAGCTCATGCAGAGCTGTTTCCACAGCGGCGATGACGTCATCAGTAGGGATCTGCTTGGGTTGGGGGTATCGGGGAAATTGAACCCTCAGGAGAATACGGTTGTTGTGGCAGTGTCAAAGGTTACACTGGTCAGGTTGACTACTGTGTTGCGGAGGACGACATGGGGTTTCGGCCGAGCAGATTTTTGCTGTAAGTTGGTGAATTTACTCACCTGTCGAGTTTTCGCGGTCTCTCGTGAACTAACAGCGTTGATGAAGGATATGCTGGAAGGGTGTGGCTGATATTCAGGTGCAATCTCTAGAGATCCTGCTCAATATACGCGATATCCGCTCGTGTGTAAAAGATACGCTCCCATAGTAGCTGTGTGCTAGTACGCCGGACGATCCGTTGAGCCGCTCTGGTCTCGATGTGATGGGAAATATTGAGAAATTTGGGAAGGACGTTACATTCGCGGCAACGTAAAAGGAAGGCGAGTTGACAGAACCTCTTAGCGCGCAGTGAGACAGATCCTGAAAGAATAGCTTCACGTTAGGAAGCTGTGCTGTCGCTGGATCCCTCACAATTTGTCAAATGAACAAAAAAGAGCGCGAATGGATTGGTGTCGTGAGACCCTGGATAAGTTCAATAGAGGAAGAACAAAAAACATTTTTAACATCGTGACGAGTGATGAAAGCTGGATTTATCAATTTGATCTAGAAATGAAACGGCAGTAATCAGTGTGGGTCTTCCCAGATGAAAATTCTCCAACGAAAGTGAGAAAACTCAGCAGCATTGGCAAAATGATGATTTGTTTTTTTCTTCTCTGCCAGTGGCCATATTGTGACAGTGCCACTCGAGAACAAAAGACAGTCGCTGCAAAATGGTACACTTCACTTTGCTTACCCAGATTGTTTGAAGAGCTGAGAAAGAACCGTCCAAAATCAGGTTTGCATGGAATCCTGCTTCACCATGACAACGCCTCATCCCACAGCAACAACTGAATTTCTGACAGAATCAAGGGTTAAAACACTGTCTCATCCACCCTACAGTCCAGACCTGGCCCCGTGTGTCGTTTTTCTTTTCCCTTATGTGAAAGAAAAAATTCGGGGTCATCGTTTCGAGTCAGCTCAGCCTGCAGTGACTGCATATGAAAATCAGATCTATATCTATATCTATATCTATATCTATATCTATATCTATATCTATATCTATATCTATATCTATATCTATCTCTATCTCTATCTCTATCTCTATCTCTATCTCTATCTCTATCTCTATCGAGAGCGAGCGAGAGAGAGAGACATAGATATACTCCACTTCGGTGAGTATTTTTACATTTGAATGAACAGTAATTAATTGCTTTGAATACTTCATGTGAAGAATCAGTTTTTTTAATATTATTATTTATCCTTCAAACTATCGTGATTTATTGGTTCGACCGAAACTTTGTTTACAAACAAGCCCAGAGTCCCGCTTCTCAGATTCTCATCTGTTCTGTTGTTTTCGTCGGCCATAGCTTTCAAAGCGATAAAGCAAGTAATGCCAATTGTTGAGCATTAAATACCAAAATATGTGGTAAATGCGTACCTCTGTACTGGCATAACGTTTTTAAGTTATTTTCCGTAAGAACATTGTATTTCTCAAAATTATAAAATGTTGTCTTTAAATGTGTCATTCAATGAGACATCAAGCTATCTTAGTGCACAAAAAGTTTGGTTGGCGCTCATGTTATGAACTGTTGTCTCGGTAGAATTAGACCGCCGTTTGTTTCTCGTTCGTGTGCTCTGCAGAATGAGGTTTTCAGTTTTTATATTATAAAAAATCCTCGGTGTCTTATATACTTTGCGTGTGTTGAGGATCAAATGCTGTCAGTAGATAATGTGTCTCCGAGGTTCGGAGAAATGGTTAGTATCTGTCAATGGTGGGTGAAAGTGGTGTGGGAATGAAGCCTACTTGTATAAAGAGTTGTATGACGCCGAAGTTTCATATTGAGATTTCCTTAATATTATATTGAGTCTTGTATAATTATTTAGTGCTTTTCTTTACTTAAGTTGATCATTAGCAACATGATGCAATCACAGTTATTGTAGTTGCACAGTTTAGTTGATTAAATCCCTGCAATTGCTGTTGAGCATGACCTTGTTTATCACCAAAGTATTAAATTGATAGTCACTTCTCAAGCCTTCTAAAGCAACTGGACGGCCCTAATATTTTGTGAAGACTCAGTGAAGTGATGAAGCTTTGCAATTTTTGTCTTTAAGTTCTCTAATCTCTTCACAATTGTAATAGGATGGGTCTACGACGAATGTTATGGAGTTTCCCAAAGTCCCATCACTGGTGGAGAATGAAGAGTGGACATACACAATGCGACGGACCATGCAAGAGATAGTTCCTGGGTTATTCCTTGGCCCATATTCTGCAGCAATGAGATCTAAACTTGAGATTTTGTTAAACCATGGCATTACACATATTGTTTGTGTTCGGCAAGACATTGAAGCTCATTTTATCAGACCAAATTTTCCAGATAGATTCAAGTAAGTGAATAGTGTAATTCTTTCAGGTTTTTCAATAATATTTTATTGCTCATTAGAATACAAAAGCAAATTTAACAAAAGTTGTACTTATTTGGTAAATTATTTTTAAAGGAAAATTATATTTCATTTAAAAGTTATATTGTAGTTTTGTCATTTCATGGAGTTATAGTGAATCTCTTCAGTAATTTCTTAGAAAAAACAGTAAATTTTGTATTAATGTATTGTTTGACTTTAAGGATCCGCTTAACTGTCTATGCACTGATCATTCAGGCTAGAGAAAGTAGACACTTAAGTAAATTGCCAACCTGGCTTGACTTCCTCATTTTAATTGAAAATGCTTTGTGTTGAGTGAGTGGTGTGAACTAGTCAAGTAGTGCAGACATGGAATGGCACTTGAGCTTTGACAGCTCAGAAAACAAATGAATAGCAGTGTAGCCACTAGATTTTAAACTATGGATGATCCTGTTGCAGTGTTACCAATCCCTACAAACAGCTGTATTAGCACAAATATTTTTGAAGTGAAGTGGTGATAAAGTTTACCCTCTATATATAGAGGTTCAATAACAATGTTCTATTCTTCCACGTAAAGTATTAGTCACACCTGCTCAAAAATACTTAGCACAGGGTATTTATTTGGAGAGTGTATGAAAAAGTTCCTTTCTTTCAAAAGTTGTGTTCAGCTAATTTTTTGTTTATTTTTAGTATTAAATTAAATCATAACACATTTTTACAATACTAATTTACCATTGTAGCTAATGATACAAGGTATAAAAGAGTTAAGAGTTGTTTTTATATTTTCAGATACTTAATACTTGACATAGCAGATACTGTCACAGAGAATATAATTCAGCATTTTCCCAAAGTTCGTCAGTTTGTTGATGAGAGCCTCACGTCCGGAGGAAAAACATTAATTCATGGCAATGCTGGAATATCTCGAAGTGCTGCTTTGGTTCTTGCATATATAATGGAGAAGTATGGTTTGTCTTGCAAGTAAGGAATTTTCCGTAGAAAATTGTTATTTTGTAATTGGTTAGAAGAAAAAAAGGGCAGTTTCCTGTGCTCTTGTATTTGGTAAACCTGTGTAATAACTGTTTACTTTACGTTGTGTCTCAAAAGTGATAAATATTAATCTCAGGGGGCAACATAAGTAAATGAGCAGGTGAACACAAGTGTGTGTCCAAAATAACTGATTTGTATAGGTTGAACTTTGCCTAAACAGACCTACTCAGAGGATACTGCTACAAACGGGATTGTTCAAAAAATACATTCACTTTTAGGTAGAGAAGTGTGTTCCTCAAAACCAGGGCTCAGTTTCTGATGCATCGTCTTTTCATTGGTGCTCTCTAGACGTAGCTAACTTGTAATTGAATGTTTATCACGATATATTGGATAGAAGTGTATAGTTATTGGGTCATTTTATCATTTTTTGCTATTTTTCAATTTTAAGGTTATTTTTCCAGACCTTTGCATCATTTTTTTGTCATTTTAACAAATTTTGTTTCCTTTTCATGTTGTTAGTTTCATGAATTTACTCTATGACAGTGACACTAAAACAAACATGTTCTCACACATTCATACACATTTTTTTATAAAATTAGGTCATTTTCCCTTCATTTTTAAGTCATTTTCTTTATGTTCAAGTCATTATATCGGTTATTTTCAAGTAAGTTTTAGGTCATCAGAATGCAAACCTTGCTCGTAACTGTAGGTAATAATTCCATTATGAACTTTAAACTAGAAATGATAGTGAAAATTTATGGAAAATGTATTTTGAATTAAATTTGAAAAAGTGTTTTAAAACTAAATTTCACCCATTTATTGAGGTTAAAAAGGCTTAGGTCAGAGTGAATTTTATTTTGATCCCATGTAACCAGTGGTGAATTCAAGTGTTGAGATGGGGGACTCAGGACAATGATAATTTTTCGAAAAACATTTTTTACTACTTACTGTGTCTAAATAAGTTTACAAGGTGTTCATTATCTCATTTGAATGTATTACAAATAACTCAAATTAACAAAGAAGATATTTTTTTGTAATTTCGTGCAAATGAGAAATTCTTCATAAGAAAGCATTGAAGTTGGATGTTTTTTCTCCTCTTCCCCCTCTGAAAAATCCCATTTGCTCCACTGAGTCTAACTTTCAATGTTACACTTGGATACATCTAATGCTGACTACTAAGAATTTATTTTCATTGTAGAGCTTTGATCTAAAACACAATTGTATGTATGATAATTTGCAAATTTGCCAGTTAATGTTTACGTTATTCTGAATGTTTTGATAAAGTGTGAATTAGAGACAGCTTTGAAACTTCTTCCCGTTGTAGCTGGATGCTGTTGACAGTAGCTGACTTGAGGTGCCTAGGATAGATGGTGCACATTACATAGTCAAGGATATTTTGTGAGAAACAGAAATCGAATTGATGGGAATTTTCTAAGGCCGGTGAGGCACAAGCTTTGTAGATTTAAGTTCCTCTGTAAATTTCTATGTACACGATACCACCTAATCTAATGAAATCGCACTACATCCTTTGGTTGATGCTTTACGCCACATGAGGCTCTAGACTTATGACTTTCAATTTGGTTAAAACAATGTTGAGTGACATTGACAACATGATTTCAAATAGGTTTTTATGCCAAAATTTTTCTTGTGAACAGGAAAGTTGCCTTTTGGGCACACCTTTCTTTTGCCAGTGCCTAATGTCAACATTTTGTGAATGATAGAAAATATCAGTTCCTTAATGTTCTTATAAATGATGGACTAATGTGTGAATTTAGTGTCTAATTTGCAAATAAGCAATATTTCTGGCTTTACATGTAACATATGTATGAACACAAAAAAGGTTGTTTTTTTTCTACTATAGGTACTTATGTGATATTTCTGGTTGGTGGAAGAAGAAAATAATAGATTGTTTGATTTCTTTAAATCAATTTAAATGTGAATGAATAAATGTTTCTATTAGATTTAGTGGAATTTAATGGATACATAAAGAAGGGGAATATTTTGTTTGAAATAAGATACTCTGGTTGATCTACAGTCCCAGGAAGCTGCTTTTCAGTGGGCACCCCTGGTGTGTCAGATATGGTACCTAAGAGGAGACCAATTAGACATTTCAGAAAACAAATGAACATCATGTTTACTTCAGAAAAGTATCCCTCTGCCCCAACAGCTGTTCAGTCATGCCTCTATTTGTGGTTGTTCACTTAACATCTTCCATAAAGACATTGTGCAAAAGTCAAGGGCTTTGCTGACATACATGCATGAACAAATCTGAGAAATCAAAATTTAATACTTTTATTGAAAACAAATTTACATAACATTCAATGCAAATTATTTACATAGCCACAATACTGCACCGAAGAAAACCTGTCAAAACGTACATGTTGCATATTTAAGACTCGGTTTTAAAATATATGTAATACTTGTCACAAAAATTATGTGTAATATAATGTTTGTAAAAAATGATAATTTTAAAGTGGATAATTTTAAACAGATCAGCTGGTTGTGGTTATCCAATCAGGAGCTTCCTCACATTACATTTTGGCAAACTCCTCATTGGATAACTGAATCACAGCTGATGATCTGTCACAAGTCACTATAATTAAATCATGAAATGTGTTGTCAGCAGTAGTTGTCAAAACAGTTTGTTCTTAGAGTAACTACTTTGTTCATGTCAGACACTGTCGCAATCCTGTGGCCTCCTCCTTTTCATTACTGGTTTATTTCAGACAACTTTTAACTATTTACAGATTTTGTAAGCCAGATTCGGTTTTCCCTTTCAAGCTGGGATAATGCTGATTGTGACCAGTAAATATCTTTCCCAACTTTAGGGCTTTATAACATAGCACAGGGTTGAACACATCTCTGAACCTAATTTTGGTGTACTGAATTGAAATATGTTTGATAATTTTCTGTACATTGTACATTTTTTGTGCCATGCAAACAAGAAAAATTCAAGAATTGTAATAATTTCTTGTTAGTAACCATATTTCACTAAGTGTAACACTCTATAAATATGATAAAATATTATTAGTACTAATACTCTTAGTAGTAGTGGAAAATGAATAATTGAAATATTAATATTACCGTAGGATGACTTGTGTGCGATCTTTCCTTCCTCTTCCTTGTCTTAACCTCATCCCTTACTTGCGCGCACACACACACACACACACACACATACACTTACAAGCACTGCACTAATACACATGCTGGGAGATTGGTTGGGAGCTTAGAGCTTGTCCCAGCTTGGGGCAGTTCCCTGAGAGTAGTGAGAGGTACCTGTTTGAGGGAAACCCTGTTAGCTGATGTGTAGGTCAGTACCAGATTTCACCATCCAGGTTGGAAAGATCTGTGCCACCTCCCAAAGAAAACACTTGCTCTTCACTTACAGGACCTTAGCAGTTGTCGTGCCCAGAATCACTAATCAATCAATCGATCTTTAACTTTGAAAATTGTTGATAACATCCTTGGATGAATGCCAAGGGTTACGTTCTAAACCAGTTATTTCATTTCCAAAGCCAGCATTCTTAATTACAGTAAAACCTAAGATTGAATGGGGTGGATATTTTATTTGAGCTTGTACAGTTTTCTAACTTATTCAGGTTTGAAATACTGTAAGCACAATCTGTCAAAGATAGAATCGTTGTATGAGAAGGCAAGATGCACTGTCACAGCAACAGTGTGGTATTAATAATGATAATTTCATCCAAAAACTACACTTCAGACAAAGTAAGAAGCCTCAGGAAAGACAATGTCCTCCAGAAAAGAAACTTGAAGCATAAACAATGAACTGCATAGAAAATAAAAGGGAGCATTATTTTCTTCAATATTTGTAGGAAGAAATGAATTCATCAGACAATTTAAGCTTTGGCAATTTGACTTAGGTATTCATGAATATTGTAACAACCACAACAAAGTCAAGATCAACAACATCAGCAAAGTTGAGAAAACGTTGGCAAAAAATTACTAAAAAAATTGCCTTTTAATTTTAAATGGACCAATAACAAGAAAACAACCATTCTACAGATAACTTTCAATTTATGCTGATATAACCCTTTGCGGTCCTGGGACTCACCTTTTTCCTCCTTGCAGACTCTTTAAATCTCCAGGTTCCTGGCTGTACTAGTCTAGCGCACTGTGGCATATGTAACTGTACTCGGGTTCCAGTTTTTTGTTACACTTATTTGCCTTATTCATTATACATAACTGTGTAAGTTAATGTTTGGTGCGGAGAGCTTCACCCAATCACTAATAAAATAAGCCTGGAGATTGCATTGTATCAGCGCAGTTTAGAGTCATCACTGCTGTTGCTTTCTTTGTATTTATTTAGAATCGCTCGAGAAAATGTTTTGTTAGTTTTCTGAACATTGTTCACACACAATTGTTTACTGATTCACTCAGTTCATGCTGTGACAATCTTGAATGCTTGCTTCTCAATGCCATGATCAGTACCATTGCAGCATTGAAAACATAACAAGAAAAGGTTGAAATCTGGCTACAAGCTAAAGGAAATTACTGCTTAAACTCTCCTTGAGAGAATTACTTATACTAGTAGCCAGTGCTATCTATCAGAGTGAAATAAAAGAGTAAAAAAATGTCATGCCTTATGAGACGAAGTCTTCAGTGTGAATTTACTTGAAATATTTTACAGCTGTGATACAGATAATCATCTTGGCTTTTGGAAATTGACGCAGATCAGGGCAATGTTTTTGTGAGAACAGAGCCTCAAAGTTATTCAGTTGTGGAAGGTGTTAATTTTTAACTCTGACCACCTCCTGATGGGATGGTACAGAAAAGGCTCTCGTGTTCATTTTTACATCTTCCATTCTTGTACTCTTCTTTTCATGTCACTGCCATTCTGTTATCACCCTTTTGCTTCCCCTCTGATTTTCTCTATGCTGAAAGCCCACCCACGGGTTTACTGTTCCTGGCAATCTTTGTCAAAGTGAATGGGAGACCTTTGGGAACGAGTCAGTGCGTGCTCACTTGAATGC